AAACACTCTACATGTATATTGTGATGGGTCAGTAGCTAGGGATGGGAAGGCAGGATGTGGAGTCTTGATCAGGGAGTACACTGACATCGGCACTGTAGATACTGTTATTGGACGCCGCTTAACTGACAATGTCTCTTCAACGCAGGCTGAACTCCAAGGAGTATTAGCAGGATTACAGGAAGTAGTCAAATGTGGTAAAAATGCTTGCTTCTTTATTGACAGCAGAGGAGCGTTAGAGTCTTTAAATAGCAGACGCCCAGTATATCAGAATATTGTGATAGAGTGTAGAGAGAATGTTAAGAGATTAGAAAAAACTGGGTATAAAGTAAGATTCATGTGGATCCCTTCACATGTGGGAATACAGTTGAATGAGGTAGTTGATGACATAGCGAAGAGAGCCACTGAAAAAACTCTTGTTGATGTTGTATGTCAGTTAACCTTGAAACAAATAAAAACAAGACTCAAGGTGATTCAGGAGGGTGAAGAAATGATAAAGAGAATGGCATTGGTGGACAGTAGTAACACACTTAAGAATTATGCAATAATAAATACAAATTCGTCCTTCACTTATGGTAAAGGAAAGTCTACTTGGAAGGATTCAATTTACATGAGATTACGATTAGGATATAAATATATCTGGCAATACGGTGTTGATGTCAGTGAAAAAGATAAGGAGTGTAAATTATGTAGTATGCCGTCCGCCCACACCTTAGAACATTATGTATTAGAGTGTCACCTTATTGAAAAATATAGAAATAAGGAAATAAATAGTGTACCACATCAAATTGTTTGGATGTGCGATAATGGTATAATAGACAGTATACTTAGGAGCTACAAGAATTTTGCCCCAAGAATGTAACAATTATATGCTGTACTTGCTGTATGCTATGTTAAATGGGATTTTTGTACTGCTATATGTCTATTTGTACTCACTGAATTTGTGCGCCCCTTGAGGGACTTGAAGTAGAGGGGGGTAGAAATAGCCTAAGCTACTCTATCCCTTTGAGATGTATTTATTGCTTATCTCAATAAACATACTTGAACTTGAACTTGAATTGAGCCACCCAAGAGGTGGCACGGGCATGAATAGCCCGTAAGTGGTACAATTTTTTTTCAGTGTTCTGAGGTTGCATTCAATCATCAAGCTGTTATCGCGGGGGAGGATACTGCTTCACAGTCTTTATGAGGGTGTCCAGCTGCTGGACACCTTTGTTGACCAGGAGAGTGGCTGTGTTGATGGCTTCAGGGTGGCCACTGCAAGATTCAGGAACTCTTAAAGCTCTTCTAAGGTCGTTGGTTGCTTCACATTCCAGAAGATAGTAAAGTAATGGCTTTTCTGTGACAGTTTGGCAGAAGATGCACTCTCTCTGTCGGGGTTCACCAATCTCCCAGTTGCATCTGTAACCTAGACGTAGTCTATATAACCTAACTGCTATTTTCTTTTGGATGTGGATTCCTTTTGGGATATTTAACCTTTCTAATTTGGTTGCCTGAAGATACCATGTTGCAGAGGGCGAACCTTCAGCTATTCTCTGGTGTAGGTAGGCTTTGTTGAGGTGTGAGAGTTTTTTGGTGATGATGTTTTTATGTTCTCTAGGCTGGGTTGAATTGTTTTATGTATCACTGGATGACGATGATAAAACTGATGAGTTGGCCAAGACTTTTGCTCGTAAAGAGGGAATTGATTACCAACTTGGACTGCCTTTGAGCAGCCTGAGGGTAGTAATATTCCGGGAACATCAACTAAATTTCGGAGACTTGAGGCAAAGTGAAATTCACGCCAGTTAGTCCATCTATCATCATTCTATTATGCAGGAAGAACCGCACGTCTATGGGTCATCCAATAAGGTTAGCAGACTTCTAAATGTTACCACTGCTAGGCTTAGGCTCGGCTACAAGTACCTCTGGGAATTTGTAACATCTGCTGATGTAGATTTGACTAAATGTAAACTCTGTCAGCAGAACTATTCGCATACTTTGCGTCATTATATAACGGAATGTGAAAAAATCGCGGAATTTAGAGATAAAATAAAATAAATAAATAAATATGTTTATTCAGGAAGGGTACATACATACAAGTAATGTTACATTAATGGATCGATATATAGATAGAGCTAGTACATACAATGCCTAAAGCCACTATTCCGCAATGCGTTTCGGGCAGGAAAAACATTAATATCTAGAACTTAATACTAATTGAGCATAAAGAATAAAATGTGTTGAGAACAAATACAAATAAAGATAAAAAAAGGGGGGAACATGACTGAAAAAGCAGCACAAATACAATAGGTTGACAAACAGTGTTGATTAAAAAAAAATAACAGACATGGGTTGACAATAGAGGGGTAAGGTAGGTTACAGGGAATTTATTAGGTAGTGTTTAGTTTTTATCTTAAACTGGTTGAGAGAGGTACAGTCTTTAACATGGTTGGGAAGATCATTCCACATTCTGGGTCCCTTGATTTGTAGAGCATTTCTAGTTTAATTAAGTCGTACTCTTGGAATATCAAAACTATTTATTTCTGGTGTGGTGCTCATGGGTTCTGTTACAACCTTCAATGAAGCTTTTGAGGTCAGGATTGGCATTACAGTTCAGCGTTTTATATATGTATAGTACACAAGAGAGAATGTGCAGTGACTTAATATCTAACATATTCAGAGATTTGAGTAGGGGTACCGAGTGATGTCTGGGGCTAGAGTTGGATATTGTCCTAATAGCAGCTTTGTGTTGAGTAATTAGAGGACGTAAATGATTTTGGGTAGTAGAACCCCAAGCACAAATACCATAGTTGAGATATGGATAGATTGAGTAATAGAGAGTAACCAGGGCAGGGCGGGGTACATAATATCTGATCTTAGAAAGAATGCCAACAATTTTTGAAACTTTTTTTGATATATTTAGAATGTGTCCCTGGAAATTCAGCTTGTGATCAATGAGAACGCCAAGGAATTTTCCATCTAATTTGTTACAAATTTGGGTATTGTTTATTTTGAGATTTATTTGATTAGAGAATTTATTGCCAAACAGAATATAGAAAGTTTTGTCAATGTTAAGGGTGAGTTTGTTGGCAGTTAGCCAAAGATGGACTTTATTTAGCTCAATATTTACTGTGGCATTTAGAGCAAGGGGGTCAGGACTGGAGTAAATGAAGGTTGTGTCGTCAGCAAATAGAATAGGTTTGAGGTGTTGGGAGGCATTTGGAAGGTCATTAATGAAGATGAGAAAGAGGAGAGGGCCAAGTATGTTGCCCTGAGGAACACCAATGTTGATGGGTAGGGTGGGAGAAATTGAATTGCTCACAGAAACATACTGGAGCCTGTCAGTAAGGTAAGATTTGAGGTATTGTAGGGAGTGTCCTCTGACTCCATAATGATGTAATTTAATAAGAAGGTTTTGGTGGTCGACAGTGTCAAAAGCTTTATGCAGGTCCACAAATAACCCAACAGGGAACTCATTTTTATCAAGAGCTGCATGAATTAAGTAATTCATGCAGCATGAATTAAGTTATTCATGCTTAATAAAATTGATAACACTATCAATAGTGTCCAAGAAGTGTGTAAGTACTTCATTCATAATGATGTGCTGCCCGAAATCTTAGCGAAGTATCCAAAATTTGCTTACTGTAAGTAATGCATGCACATGACTGTAAAGCTGCCGCCCAGTTGGGTGGGTGTGGAGCACATGACTGTAAAGCTGCCGCCCAGTTGGTTGGGTGTGGAGCACATGACTGTAAAGCTGCCGCCCAGTTGGGTGGGTGTAGAGCACATGACTGTAAAGCTGCCGCCCAGTTGGGTGGGAGTGGAGCAAGACCAGTAACTGTGCGACTCATCATAGATGTAAAGTGCCTTGTATAGTGACTGTTGTGAGCCTCTTGTTGAATCACTTGTGACACAAAAGATTATTGATGTGTGTATTTGTGTGGGTGATTAAATATGTATGTGTATGTGTATATGTACATGTATGCATGAGTATGTGTACATGTATATATATATATATAATATTAATAATTTTGTAACTAGCGTCTAATGTTTGTTATTTGCTTAGTTAAACGAACTAGAGGGTTCAGTTCCTGAACCGATTATGTGCCTCTGTAATCCTTTGCACCACCGCCCACGGGATGGGTATGGGGTACATAATAAAGAAAGAAATTGAAATTGAATGAACAAGTAACCACTTCATGGTGTTTTTACATATGTTACTCTGAAATAGTTGCAAAGTTTCATTATGATGCACACTCTGTTAATATAAACATTTTAACCCTATTGACGAGATGTTAATTCTAATATCACCCTGTACCAATGTCTTTCCCAACCTCAGTAATGTAAATTATTTCTAAACCTGTGCAAATGTAAGAGGTATACGCTCTGATTCATAACGTAAGAGAGTGCTGCAATATATATATTGATTAACTAGCTCCAGTCATCACTAATTGATTGCGTTTCTGTTTCTAAATAATTTAGGTATATGTTAACATTAGTATTAAATAATAATGAAATCACCAAAATTATGCATATAGAAATTACACATATTGAAATGTGTGCTTTTGATAACAGCAGCGGCGTCAGATACCAGAGATTTCAAAATGCTTTTGATTGGCGATGAAGAACAACCACACAATTTAGAATAAGCTTATTGTTTCACACACAGAAGCGTGTCACTTGAAATATGTCAAGAGTTAGAAGACAGGAAGATCTTATCATGCGGGCAATGCAGCAATTTTTAATATACGAAGTATGAAGCTATAAACTCCTGTTTTTCTTTATAAATAATTATTGTAATTATTATTAATATTTAATTATTATTATTATTATTATTATTATTATTATTATTATTATTATTATTATTGTTGTTGTTGTTGTTATTAATAGTGTTATTATTATGATTACTATTGTTATTATTATGATAATTAGTGTTATTAGTGAGAATTGAGTGAGTGAGAGTGAGAGAGAGTTAAAGATAGGCGGGATGTGAGCGACCAATGAGCGGGCGGCTGTGAGAGTCGCCACTCAGCTGATGCCTCTGGTGTTGTTGGGAGGCATTGTTTGTTGACACCACTGTGAGGGCTGGTCCCCACTCCTCCTCTCACCTCTGCCACGCCGGGGTATGGCTCCCCACTGAGCTGGGAACATGCTCAAGGGAAGGGGATGGTTTGGAGGAGGGCTATGGAAGAGCAAGAACCCCCACTCGCTGGAACATCTCAGGTAAGGAGCTCGTATTGACGTGGACCTGTACACTCTTCTAGCCATTTTACTATTCGTCACCCCGGAGAGAAGATGACAGCTCACCTCCAGTTCCTGGCCCCTGGTATATGTGCCTTGTACTAGAGGGTCCCGGGTAGTACAGTCGGGTTCGTCCTTCTCCACTCACAATCGAGAATTACGGGTTCGAATCCCTGGCGGCACAGAAATGGTTGGGCGCGTTTTGTTTCACCCTCATTCGTCTGTCCACCTAGCAGTAAATAGGTACCCAGGAGTTCGTCAGCTTGTTGCGGGGGTTGCATCCTGGGAAGGGTCAGTAATTTGACCCTGGGGGAGCTAGGTATAAGGTATTAGCCTAATATATACTTTATGTATATGTTAGGCTACCAGTCTCCGTGGTGCAGTGGTAAGACACTTGCCTGGTGTTCTACGAGCGCTTTATCATGGGTTCGTATCCTGGTCGGGGAGGATTTACTGGGCGCAAATCCTTAACTGTAGCCTCTGTTTAACTCAACATTAAAATGTGTACTTGGTTGTAAAAACGATTCTTCGCGGTGGGGATCGTATTCCAGGGACCTGCCCGAAACGCTACGCGTACTAGTGGCTGTACAAGAATGTAACAACTCTTGTATATACTGTATCTCAAAAAAAAAAAAGTATAACCTGGCTTCCTGTCCCTCTGACACAATGATTTATATATATTGTACGTTGTTCGTTACATTAAGGAAAAAAAGGTAGTCGTTCAGTTGTACAAGTCTCTGGTGCGCCCCCACCTGCATTATTGTATCCAGGCATGGAAGCCTCATCTTCAGAAAGACATATCTGCTCTGGAGAAGGTGCAACACCGGGCAACAAAAATCATTTCAGAGCTAAGTTCTCTCTCGTATTGGGAAAGGTTTAGGGCCAAAGGGATAACGACACTGCAAACCAGACATGACAGGGCGGATCTCATCGAAACCTTAAAATACTGAATAATTTGGAGGATGTTGATCCGGAAAATTTCTTCAAAAGGTCAGATGTAATACAAATGAGGAGCAACAGTTTAAAGCTCAACAAGCCACAATGTAGGACTGAGAACAGATGTTTTTTCACCCATTGGGTTATAAGCTCGTGGAACCACCTACTGCAGAAGCCGTAAATGCCAAAACTCTGCTGGGTTTTAAAATACAGCTGAAAAAGAATATGGCAAATCGGGGGACTTTTGACAAGCTGCCAGCTTCCTGTCCTCGTCGAGGCCACTAGTATTAGTGGCCCTCGAGTAAATTCGGGTAAAATACCTTTTTAATTTTGAGGATAATGTCCCTGTGGCATTGTCTCTGGTCAGGCATTTTGGTTGACAATCTGGTAAATGTATAATATCTGCATAAATAAAGAGCAACATTTTGTTATAAAATAGTATGAAGAAGTGATTCAGAAGTCACTGTAGGAAGAGAAGGGGACTCGTTAAAAAAGACAGTGATGTGTGAAGTTCTGTGACCCATAAACCTTTGCCAAGGTGCACATAAAGAAGGCAGGGTGGATCATCTCTGTAAATTGGCTGAAGAACAATTGTATAATAGAGTATGAAAAGTATGAAAAGGTACTATTGGTGTTCTATGAATAAAATATTGTATCACTGTGCCCTGTAGTACAGTGGCACCGCGACATACGATTGCCCCTACTTAGGATAATTTCGAGTTACGATGTAAATTTCATCGAAAAATGCGACTCGATATCAGATATTTGTTGGTACACGTTCAGGTCGACTGAGCGCGTGGTTCCCAGTCACGCGGCCGACCTGCCTCAGTTTACTACAGCTGCCAGGTTAGTGACGATCGCGCCTATAAGAAATTCCGCTTTTGTGGTGATTTTTTGCATTTTGAACATTAAAGTAATTATTATATATCACGCCATGAGTCCCAGGAGTCAGTGGTAAGGCTCGATATATGAAAACCCATGTAAGGATGACCATAGAGCAGAAACAAGAGTACAGAATGTCTCTTCCTCAACAATTAAGAAAATGTGTGCAGCATGGGAAGAATTGCAAACCTTTGCTGAAACGACTCGCCCAAATCAAGCTGCAGTAAGTCGTTGCCTTAACCTATTCAGTGACACTGTGATGCATCATTACAGACAAATGTTAAAATGAAGGGAAAACAAATGCCTCTTGACAAATTTGTAGTGAGACAAGCACTGAACCACAACCAGGGCCTAGTGGTATTCAGGCAAAACGTAGGAGACAGAGTACCCCAGAGAAAACATCACTGCCTGATGTGATAATGGAAGGGGACTTCCCTTCCAAACAGGAACAACTCTCTTCCTCCCCCCCCTCATCACCATCTTCCATACGCCATCAAGAGCCCTCCATAAAGGTAAGAGACACTATGGTACTGTATTGTAGTTAGAAAAAAAACATTGTATTCAGTATAAAATGTATTTGTATGTTAATATTTTGGAGGGTGGGGAACGGATTAATTAAATTCCCTTTATTTCTTATGGGAAAAATCGCTTTGACTTACGATCCGTCTCTGGGAATGGATTAGCATCGTAAGTCGAGGCCCCATTGTATTATAATTTTCTACATTGTGTTTACTATAGGGTATAACAGCCTGCTACTTAATGTAATGTACAAATAATATTACAGTATAAACATTTGTTCTTCAGCTTATCAGCATAAAATGTAGTGAATGAGCAATAAACATTTGCTATAACTTCACCTAATTCCTAATTTATATTAAAGACAGGAAGCTAAATAGGGATATTTTTACAGGTACCTGTACAATGTGCTCAGTAAAAACCAGGTTGTGCAGGAGAGTAACCGCGGCCTTCTGGTGGAGAATCTCCGCTCCATCGCAGAAATACTCATCTGGGGTGACCAGAATGATTCCTCAGTGTTTGAGTGAGTAAAATTGCTCTCCTCCATGAAATGCCATTCCCTATCAAATACCAAGCTTCTTTGTGCTTGAACACTTTCCATATAAATATAGTGTAACTTTCCACTGTGTTGATATGAGCGTATTTTATTTACAATACAGTATACACAGTGTAAAAAAATAAATAGTGTAGTTCAGACATATCGAGTATGTATGTGATTCAGTTTGATCAGGTATAAATGGGAGCTGCCTCACATGGGCCAGTAGATCTTCCATAGTTTCCTCTATTCTTATGTTCTAGGGGCATTTCCTTTTATGACCTTGAATAGTGGATAAATTCCCATTTCAATTATGATTGGTACTGTATATATACAGTATATATATATCCTGTACAGTATATATATTGTATCTATATTCAAGCCACATGCTGCGCATGCATTTAAAAACATATCGAACACAGTTCATAAACTCTGGTACAATACTTGACTTAGCTGTATTGCTATATATACAGTACTGTATTGATTGTTTTTCTATAGGTAATGGAAAAATATACTCACCAAGAATAAATTTTACTCAAAGACGTGTAGCTCATGGAATATGGGTGTGATGAAATTATTAATAATCATTTTATTTTGCCTATTAATTCATTTTTATAGTATTTGCATGGTTCTATTCAGGAATAAATGATTCAGTGCTTAAAGGTTACATTAGTTTGGCATCATTATTGTAGTAATAAAGACTTGTCTTGTGTAATAATTCTTTAACGATTGTTCATTTTTTTCCAACAGTTTCTTCTTGGAGAAGAATATGCTGTCTTTCTTTCTTCGTATCATGAAACAGAAATGTGGAAGCTATGTATGTGTACAACTGCTTCAGACTCTGAATATTCTTTTTGAAAACATTCGGAATGAAACTTCACTGTGTAAGTCTTAAAGATTGTACATAATAATTTTGAAGATGCTGTTTGGAGAAATAAAACTTATTATTCATAATTCAGCATATAAAAATATGAATAAAATTGCAAAATATACATAGTATTAAAAATTAAAAAGTTGCTTTGCTACTGTGATTATGAAAGCTGCTTTTGAGTATTCCCAGTAAGTTGGTCTAGTGTTTAACCAAAAAACCAGCGTTGAATGTAATGAAACGCCATTTTCTGGGTGAGCCCCGGAGGCTCCCTGGAACTTATCGGGCTAATGTATATTATATTAGACCGGGACATTAGCTAAGGAGTTCAGACCTACCAGGGACCAGTGCCAGAACCTGGCCCCTTCAGAGAGGTTTCAGGGAGCAATGGCCCTGGAAAACTCCCTTGTGGTTGGGGTTTTCCTTATCTGCCATCGACTGGGGTTAGGCACCCAGAAAGGTAGGCATAACAAAACAAACCCCACATGGTAAAAAACTAAAACAGAAAACCGAACAGAGGTAGAAACTCCCTACAATCCCAAAGAAAGAAGCAACCATCACACTTTACTGCCTCGCCGATCGTCTGCGCAACTCTCCCCGCCCCGCCCCAAGAGGGGGAGAGGGGAGCCGTGGACCTCGCCATGCTGGCTGGCAAGCATCAGTTCAGAAGCCAAGCTTCAATCAATGCGAAAAAACCGCCGACCGGAAGGAGGGAGGGTTGCCAGGGAGCCTCCGGGGCTCACCCAGAAAATGGCATATCATTACATTCAATGCTGGTTTTCTGTGGGGAGCCTCTACGGCTCCCTGGAGCTTCATACCCAAAGAGAAGGAAAAGAAAGGGCTGACTCGAGAGGCGGCCGCCACAAACTCCGCAACGCGAAGCCGAGACAACAGGCTGCAACCTGCGATCCAAGGCAACAAGAACGCACAGGAGCAGAGACGCGCATAAAGAACGGGAGGAGGAACCTGTGTGACCCTCAAATCCTCGCACCCGAAATGAGCCCTAAACGTCACCAACACAGCCGCGAAAGCTGCAAACATCCGAACAGCAGGGGCGCAAGGATAGACCGCAGGCTGGAAGACTTAAAAATTCTGCGGATGACCTGGGAGACCCGAGCCCTGAAACAGGGAACCGGATCAACCCAAAGCGCATCCCCAGACACGGTACGCAGGTAACGGCAAAGAGGCGCAACCGGACAACACAGGACATCAATCGAGCCGAACCAATCGAGCATCAATAACCCAAGGACCCCTCCGGAAAGCAGCCATCTCGACCGTCGCCAGAAGGACAGAGAAAGGCTACAAATGTACAAACCTACCACCAGTACCAAAGAACATAAACCCCTGCACTGGAAGAGTCGGAAGCTCCCCGACCTGACCCACAGAGGCCCATGCTAACAAAATGGGGCCTATGAAAACCAAACTTGAACCGAAGGGGCTACCACACTGAGGAGAAGATAAGAGGGCACCCTGATCAAGGATCAGAACGGCTCGGGTGATGCATGAGCAGGCCAGAGGTGAAAAAAGACGAGAAAGCATACGGAACAGGGCAGATGTGACATCCACCCTGAACGCAAGCCGGAGCAGCTCCGCCAGTGCCACACAAAACGAGGCGACAGTAAGAAACATCAAATAACTGTAGTCCTGAAAACCTAAGAAAGGACAAGACAACCTGATGCGAAAGAGAAGACAACTTACGAAGAGCAAGAAAAAGGTGCATAGAAACACCAGGAACGTCATACTGTCGCTGAGACGAAGCTTGCAGGTGGGACACCATCAACGAAGCCACTTGATCACCATAGAGATGGTGATCAGGTGCCAAAGAGAAGGCCGAACCAATCACGTACAGGATTGGTCCGACCTGTCGAAAGAGACAGAGCCGCGGGAAAACGCCTCGGGTTCGGACACTTATCAAGCAGCGTCTGAAAATAAAGCTGGGCCGGCCACCAAGGGACCATGAGGACTACTCTCCTTGGGAATGGACTCCAACTGAGCCAGAACCCAAAGCAACAGCTGGACCGGGAGAAGAGGAACAGGTACCCACACCTCGATCAGTCCTGCTGAAAGGCATCCACCGTGAAAGCCTCGCAGGCGGGTAAGGGCGCCACATAGAATGGGCGACGCTTAGACCACGCCGACGCAAAGATGTCCATGGCCAGGAGTCCATACGTCTGGCAGAGCCAACAAAACGAGTCGGCGACGACTGGCCAATCTGCAAACAGAGGAATGAACCGAGACAGACTGTCCGCCAGGACGCAGGACACACCCCGGAAATGAACCTCGCAGCTAACCAAACCCCGAGAATCCAGTAAACGACCCACTCGAAGGGACCAAACCCCAAAGGTCAAACACATAAGAGAAACCCTGTGGTTCCGGCAAAGAACCACCAGAGAACAGTCTGAATGGAGCTGGATGGTAGAGCACCGAGTGACCGGAACCCTCCAAAGCGCAAACCAGACAGCCATGAACTCCTGAGCCGTGCTGTGAGCCCAACGGACGGACAGACCCCACCATCCCCGGCCGACCTGGTGAGCACTGGTCACAAAGCCCCAGCCGAGAGATGACCCATCCATGAACACATTGAGCGAAGGTTCGGGGAGGTGCCAAGGCACGGAACCCCAAAAACCCCAAAGAGGAAGCTGGTGATGCAGCACCAACACAAGATCCCGGAGGACGAACCCAACGAATGCAAGAGAGGCAGAAGGGGAGTCTCCGAAGGAACCAAGCAGACGACAAAGCCAAACCCGACCCTGCGGGCAGACTAGCACATTGAAGTTCAGACTCCTGCACAACCGCTCGAGCAATCGACGAGCGACCTGGGACCCCCCCCCTCATAAACAGCCAAAACGGGACCACAGCCGCAGCAACACTTCTGGAGGGAAAGACAAGGAGTGGCCCAAGAGCCCTAAAAAAGACCCAGCCAGGTCCGAACCCGGGACGGAAACAGATGGAACGGCCTCTAGATCACCAAGAAACCGAACCCGGCGATCTAGAAAAAACCACACCCCTGGCGAGCAGACAAGCGGACCAACTGGGAGCCCACACCAGCCAGTTGTCGAGGTAGGTCAGACACCGAATCCCAAGCAGACACAGACAGGACACCAAGATCCGGTAAAGATGCGTAAATACACCAAGTGCCAATTACAAACTAGGGAAGGCAACAAAAGTGGCAAGCTTGAAGCCCCACCGCCAACTGTGCCAGTCCCGGAAACCTGGAGAGGAACGTGCCAAGAAGTGACCTGGAGATCCAGGGCCACCAACCACCGACCTGGCCCCAACAGAACCCAGACCGAAGACAACAGTCCTCCGATGAGGGCAAAGAATCCAGGGCGCAGACTGAACAAGTCCAGAAGAACCGCAGATTCAACAGGCCTATGTCTGCATACTGTAGAGCAGACGGGAATCCCGGAAGGATGGGGCGGATTGACCATGTTGAAAGCACCTACTTTGATGCCATGATGAAGCGCAGGGGAAGAAGCCCACCCCGCTGCAGAAAGAAATTTTGAAAAAGGGATTGCAGACAAATGTAAAACAGAACCAGGTCTATTCTATAAATTCATAAACAACAAATTGCAGGTAAAGGATAATATTCAGAGGTTGAAAATGGGAAATAGATTCACGGAAAATGAAAAGGAAATGTGTGAAACATTAAACGAAAAGTTCCAAAGTGTGTGTGTACAAAATGAAATCTTCAAGGAACCAGACACAATAAGAATTCCAGAGAACAACATAGAGCACATAGAGCACATTTTTTCCACTTCGTCTTGAGACGAAGTGGAAAAAATGCTCAAGGAGCTAAATAAGAACAAAGCAGTTGGTCCAGATGGAGTTTCACCATGGGTTCTGAGTGTGTGCACCTGAGCTCAGCATTCCACTTCAACTGATTTTTCAGGCATCCTGTTTACAGGAGTTGTAGCTGATGTGTGGAAAAAGGCTAACATAGTTCCAATCTACAAAAGTGGAAGCAGGGAAGACCCCCTTAATTATAGACCTGTATCATTGACAAGTGTAATAGTCAAAATATTGGAAAAATAATTAAAACTAAATGGGTAGAACACCTGGAGAGAAATGATATAATATCAGACAGTATGGTTTTCGATCTGGAAGATCCTGTGTATCGAATTTACTCAGTTTCTATGATCGAGCAACAGAGCTATTACAGGAAAGAGATGGTTAGGTTGACTGCATCTATCTGGACCCAAAAAAGACTTTCGACAGAGTTCCACATAAGAGGTTGTTCTGGAAACTGGAAAATATTGGAGGGGTGACAGGTAAGCTTCTAACATGGATGAAAATTTTTCTGACTGATAGAAAAATGAGGGCAGTGATCAGAGGCAATGTATCAGATTGGAGAAATGTCACAAGTGGAGTACCACAGGGTTCAGTTCTTGCACCAGTGATGTTTATTGTCTACATAAATGATCTACCAGTTGGTATACAGAATTATATGAACATGTTTGCTGATGATGCAAAGATAATAGGAAGGATAAGAAACTTAGATGATTGTCATGCCCTGGGAAGACGGGACTCTACGAGCATAGCTCTCATCCTGTAACTATGCTTAGGTAATTACACACGGGCGTATGCATGTGCACACACACACACGGGTGTATGCATGTGCACACACACGGATGTATGCATGTGCACACACAAGTGTACACATGTACATGTGTACACACACACATACACGTGAAAAGAAAATACAAGCCGCCGACCAGTGGGCAGAGAGCACCACGCTGGCCAGGCGAAGAATGCACAAAGAAAGCACAAAACTGCATCAAAAGGCCCACCTCGACAACAAAACCCAAAGCCCCGGCACGACCACAACACGTGCCAAGACCCAAAAAGATCAGCCTGCAAGCCAGGAAGACCCCAGAACCCCATAAGGCAGAACTGGGTCATACACGAGGAAACAAAACCCCTTGAACCCACAAAGGAGCCCAAGAGGAAGAAACCTCCGGAACGAAACCAAAGAACCCAAAGGAACCCAGAATCGAACCTGGGGCAGCCCAAACC